ACAGCCACTTTGTAAGACAGTTTGACAGGCGAAGAAAGGTATACATACTCTAATCATATGATCCAGCAATCCCAGCCTAGGTATATATTCAACAGATTTGAAAACTTATATCCACACAAAACCATCACATAAATGTTTGTAGCAGTTTTATTCAGAATCTCTAGAAACTGGATATGACCTAGATGTCCTTCAATACGTGAATGGATAAACACACTGTGGTATATCCCAGTGGTTGGCAAACTGGCCCCTTGAGTGTGGCTCTTCCACAAAATACCACGCGCAGGAGCACACTACAATGCGATTGAAACTTCGTGGCCCGTGCCACGGGGCCAAAGAGCCACATGTGGCTCACGAGCCGCGGTTTGCCGACCACTGGTATATCCAATACAATAAAATACTATTCAACAATAAAAAGGAATGAACTAAAATTCACGCAGACATGGATGGATCTTAAATGTATTCTGCTATATGAAAGAAGCCAGCCCGAAAAGGCTACATCCTGCATGATTCCAACCAAATGATAAAGGCAAAACTATAGGGATAGTAAACAGATCAGTGGTTGCCAGGGATTGGGGGTGGGGAGGAGGTTGAATAATGAAGCACAGGGAATTTTTTAAGGCTTGGAAAACTATTATACATAATATTGCAATGGTGGGTACATGATACTATGCATTTGTCAAAATTCACAGAACTTTACAGCATAAAGAATAAACTTTAATGTATGCTAATTTCAGGATGTCAAGGATCCCAGGATGAAATGTGAAATATGAACTAAATTATATTACAAATGGATGAAACCTCTGTGAAGGGGATGAAGGAAAGATGTTGACCTAAATAATTTTGGAAATAGCAGAGTCTGTAAGAGTAAAGGCAAAAAGAACTGTACATTGCACTGTATTAATTGATAAAGTTGTTTCCCACAGATAACAGGTTAACAATTCTGAAACCACTATTCGTGTATCCTGAAATTGAACAATTAAATAAAAGGATGGTGGATGGTGAGAGATAAGTTACTGCTAGAGTGGAAAGTTACAGGCAAACAAGCTGAAAGGCTAGAATACATGTGGCAATGGATTAGAGTTGGAGACATCAGTATGAACTCATGTTTAGCTTAACATAGATAGATATAGATGGTTACATATAGAAATATCTATAAATATATGTATACACACTCTTTAGTAAACACATATATACTTCCTTGCTCTATCAGTTAAGAAGGCCTAAAAGTAACAACACCCTAGTAGTAAAGAGCATACCTAGTCCCCAGATCTTGGTTTCTAATATCTATATATATAAAAGCCCAGTGACCATTACGGTGGAACAACCGGTCGCTATGATATGCACAGACCACCAGTGGGCAGATGCTCAATGCAGAAGCTTCCCCCTGGTGGTCAGTGCGCTCCCATAGCAGGAGCGCCGCGGCGGTGGTGGGATCCTCTCCTGCCTCCGCAGTAGCGCTAAGGAGCAGTGAGCCAAGCAGTAAGAAGCAAGCAGGCGGGCAGTAAGGAGGGAGCAGGCAGGCAGTTAGGAGCAAGCAGGCGGGTGGTTAAGAATGAGGGGTCCTGAAGTGCGAGAGGGATGTCCACTGCCAGTCTAGGCCCGATCGTGGAGTCCCCAATTGTGAGAGAGCGCAGGCCGGGCTGAGGGACCCTCCCCTCCCCTACACGAATTTTGTGCATCGGGCCTCTAGTCTATATAATAAAAATCTAAGTGACCATTACGGCAGAACGACCAGTCACTATGATGCGCAATGACCACCAGGGGGCAGATGCTCAACGCAGGAGCTGCCCCTGGTGGTCAGTGCACTCCCACAGGGGGAGCGCTGCTCAGCCAGAAGCCAGGCTCACGGCTGGCGAGTGATAGGGTCTAAGCCGGCAGGCAGACATCCTGAGGGGTCCCAGATTTCGAGAGGGCACAAGCTGGGCTAAGGGACACACCCCCTCCACCCAGTGCACTAATTTCATGCACTGGGCCTCTAGTGATTTCATAATAATCCACATTGGCTTAATGCAATCCCATGGTGTCATTCAGATTCGAGTCCCACACTGCATGGTGTCTTAATTAAATTATTGGACCAGCACAGACAACAAGCCAACAAGCAGGGATACTTCCTCTCCAACAACAGAACGGAACTCCTAGCCAGTTGCCCCTTACTGCTTTTTAGAAGGGCTGAAAAGCTTGAGTGATTTACTCCAGGTCCATCAAGAACCCAGCAGTACACAGAAGCCACCTTATGGCACAATGGAATATCACAACATTTAAGTGTCTATTCTTTTCAAACAGACAGCTGGAAAATCTATTTTCTCTTTCACAAAAGGAAACTGAGCACACAAACCATTTTTGACAGTTATCCCTATAGCATTCCCTATCTTGCTCAACCATGCATCATCACTAATCGTTTTTAAATATGTACAGATATTAACTTCACTAATAAGTATAAGAACAGGCAGCGCCCATGCACCATAACAATGATTTTCAAATTTGTTTGATTAAAGCCCATAGCCCACATAGAAATGGAAAGATTCACAAAATATTTATTCCGAATGTAATGAACTGATAGCTTCTTGTCTCTTTTATTCATGTTTGAAAAAATAATAGCTGCAACCTCTAAAATGATTTCATGGTCCAGTGAGTAAAGGAGCATAACACTTAGACTCTGGAAATGTTCCTTGGATTGTTTAAGAAAAATGGCTGAATCCTAATCAGAACAGCAAGCTTTGTGGTGTTTTAACTTGTCCTATTCCCTACCCTCTCCATAAACCCAAGGTAGTCACCAAAGTCAACAGCCTCATAATCACAGTAGCTATGAAAAGTACCAGCCTACAAACCACTGGAGGAGGCAAGCTGCATTGGGAGTGCCTCAGAAGTTCCACACACAGAGGTCTGTCCTTATTTGACCTGTCTGGCAGCTCCCTGAAAACTTACATTTGCAAGGATTATCTTCATTCAATCTGACTCAGTAGAAAACAGCCTCTTCCCCAGGCATCGTTAAAAGAATTTCTTCTAGTCAAAAACCATATCATATATAGTGTGTCTCAGTACATTTATAACTCAGAAGGAAACTGGTCCTTGAACGGTCCAATCATATTGCAATATGCCAGTGAAAGTCTGACTTTATCATAAGACCAAAAATCAAAACTGTCCAATCAGGAAATATGCCTAGTCAATCAGGGAATTGCCACAGATTCAGTAATGTTATGGAGAGTTGCAATTTTTTTTTGTTTCTTAGCATCCAGGGTCCTTCCTTCCTATCTGGGATCCCTCTGTCCCTGAATCTCAGCTCAGGGGCTCTCAGGGGAGTGGCTGGTACTTCTGGCCTTGTGATAGTTTCAAAGGTAGGCAAGACTGCAGCACTGTGGTATGTTGACACATTACTCACCTCCTCTTCCTCCTTGTTAACAAAACTCAGTTCTATCTAGGGTGCCACGTATCCAGCTCTCAATGATGGATCATGAGAGGTTAACGATAGTCATGACAATTCTTTTATCTACTCATCTAGCCTGATGGCAGCAAGAGATGGCAAAGTGACTTAGTACTGATCAATGACATATAAGATGACAACAGATGAGCATTTCTAGAGGATGTTTTGCTTTTCAGTTACAGGAAAAAAACCACACTAGACAAGTAGCACTTCTTTTCCCTCTTCCTCCTGCTTTGAACATAGGTATGATGCCAGGAGCTGCAATAGCCATATCACGCCCATAGGACAAAGGCCAAAAGAACTGCAGGGATGTTGGGCCTGACACTACTGAACTGCTGAACCATACCAGGCTGCCACCTATCACCAGGTTTCCTGTTATGTAAGAAAAATTAATTCCTCTTTGTTTACTGCTGGTTGAGTCTGTCTGTTTCTTGCAGCCAAAAGCAGTCTTTTTTAAAAAAAATCCTCACCTGAGGCTATGTTTCATTGAGTTTTTAGAGAGTGAGGAAGGGAGAGAGAAATATCAATTGCCTCTCATCCACACCCTGACGGGATTTAACCCACAACCTTTTTTGGTGTATGGGATGACACTAACCAACTGAGCCACCTGGCCAGGGTGCCAAAATTATTCTTTTTTAAAAATATATTTATATTGATTTCAGAGAGGAAGGGGGAGAGAGGGAGGAAGGGAGGGCGGGAGGGAGAGGAAGAGAGAGAAAGAGTAACATCAGTGATGACCTTGATCAGCTGCCTCCTGCACACCCCACACTGGGGACTGAGCTGGCAACCCAGGCATATGCCCTGACCAGAAATCGAACCGTGACCTCCTAGCTCATAGGTTGACACTCAACCACTTAGCCATGCTTTTTACTCTTTTTTTTGTTAATCCTTGCCCGAGGATATTTCTCCATTGATTTTTTTAGAGAGAGAAGGATGGGGGAAAGACACAGAAACATCAGTGTGTCTCTCACATTGATTGGTTGCCTTCAACACACACCCCAACTGGGGTCTGAGATGGAGCCTGCAACTGAGGTACATGCCCTTGACCAGAATCGAACCTGGGACCAGTCAGAGACTGATGCTCTATCCACTGTGCCAAACTGGCCAGGGTGGTGCCAAAAGTATTCTTAACTGACTTGCCAAGTGACTCAATCAGAGACAAAGGAACACAAAAACACCTTTGCTAGGGACATCTCAATCTTTCCTACTGGACAAGAATGCGGTAGGGTACAGCCTCAGGAATCTCACAACCACAGGGACGACATAAGCCTACCTGAGGACAGGATGCTAAGGGGCAGAGGGAAACAGTGAATGCCAATAACAACTCGAAGCTCTTTTACTAGTCATGACTGAAGGAAGGTTTGTCCTGGACTTAACATGAGCTAGTATGTTCCTTTGTGCTTAATCCAGTTTGGCTTTCTGACACTTGCAATTAAATGAGCCCTAACTAAGACAATAAGCCCTAATTTCTTCACTGGTCAGCCAATCAGTTCCAAACTCTAAATCACATTCTTGGCAGGTCAGCTTCTGTGCAACACCATGAAAGATCACAACCAAGAAAAGTGGGTATTACTCACCTTCTTTTTGTTTCTTCTGTTCAAGTTTCATCTTCTTTGCCAATAATTTCTTCTCTTTTAACTTTTGGCTACAGATGTAATATAAATACATTAATCCCTTATTTTGTATATTAGAAACATCTACTTATAGGATCTTTAAAGATGTTATAATCACACAAACACTACACTAATAAAATGAAAGAAATACTTTATGATTCTGCTACTCCATCACCAACATTATCAAGCCATTTTTCTTCATGAATCAAGAGAAATCCTCCTGAGGTGATTAAAGCAATCTCAGAAACAATGGAGATGGTTCTTCAACCCAAGATATTTAGGGACGACTTGAAAAATCCTGTTCAGCACTATAAAAGTGGGGTTCTACTGAAAGTAACCTCATAGGGTGACCTGATCATAAATCCCTAATTGGGCAGGTCATGATGGGCAGCCACGCCCCAAGCATATAACTTTTGTAAAAGATTTCTCTTTGCCTTAAGCAGGGCATTGTTTTAGTGCATCTAGGTTAACAGAACTTTGAAATGCCTTTTCAGAAGTAACCTCGTCCAAGAGAGCACATAATCTGGTTAACTATCCTGTAATCCAGTCTCAGCCTTACTTTCTCTACCTTACTTCCCTCAATTTCAAATGCATAAAAGCAGCTGCAAACTGCCATTCTGGAAAGTATTTAATTAAGATCTTGATTCCCAGCAGCTGTCCTCAGTTTGGCTCAAATAAATTCCTAGAAAAATTCCCTACAGGGTTAGACATTTCTTAAATCGATAAGGGAGTACTTATTAAAACATACACACATGCAACCTGTATACTTACATAGTCACTTAGGGAGGTCACAGGCCCTAATTTAAGGAAGAAGCTAAATGAGAAGTTCAATCACAGCACCTAGTTAAACCTGAGGTTAAAATACAGAAGTGAAGAAGAGAAATCCCTATGATCACGGAAATGCTGACCTCCAAGCTTTGAAGAAGTTGTAACCAGCTGGGGGAGGGGCACAGTAAATGTCTTCATCTCCCCTGGACTATTTGAGAAAAGCCATTCCTCTACTGGATTGCTCCACGGCGGGTTAAACACCCAAGACCTCTAAAGGTTATACAGGTAAACTTTTGACTGCAAGGACTCATCCACCAACCATGCATCTACTTTCCATTTCCTGCCCTTAAGTCACATTAGTTATGAGATGCCACAGAGCCCTTACCGCTTTTTTCGACGCTTTGCAGTCTGCTCCTCTGCAGCAATTTTATTCCTTTCCAGTCTCTTCTGAAACTCTACATCCAATTTTTGCTGCAAAAAAACCGACATCATTTAGACACACTGTGGGCTGGATATGAGAGCTCCAAAAGTCACACCAGTGGGGGTGCTACAGGTATATCTAGGTCTCCAGAGCCACTTCAACTTTAAGTGGTTGCCCCACAGAGGGGGTGGGAAATCAATACAAGGCTCTCTGATGGTGAAGTTACTCTGTTCACTAAGATACTGAAGCAGGGTAGTAAGAAACTAGGAAAATTATCCGGAAAGTGGAATGAGGAAACTGAGACAAGGGGTGGAAACAGCTATTAACAGCTAGCTAATAAATCACAAGACCCTAACCTCCCTAACTGAAGATGCCCAAGAGCAGATGGTTTAAATCACCATAGTCAGGAAGCCAGAGCAAAAACCAATTAGAGCCAGACTAATCCAAGATAAAAGTAAAACTAGCCAGAAAATGACCCCGGATCCTACTGTACACTTATTTTATTTTTTTAAATCCTTACCTGAGGATATTTTTTCCATTGATTTTTTTAGAGAGTGGAGGAGGGGAGAGAGGGAGGGGGAGAGAGAGGGAGAGAGAGAGACACAGACAGACAGACAGACAGACATTGACATGAGAGAGACAACTGGGCTGGGGATCGAATCTGCAATCGATGTTAATATGCCCTTGACCGGAATCAAATCCGCGACCCTTCAGTCTGTGGGCCTAAGCTCTAACCACTGAGAAAACCAGCTAGGGCTGAATCTAATTTTTTAAATCAAATTATTGGAAAATGAAATATTATTGGGTAGTTTCTTCTTTCATAAAAAGCAGACATTTTAAAGTATCTGAATCTCTCAAAATGTATAAATGTATTCCCTGAAATAACAGCCATTATGAGAAGACTGAGGAAAAGGACCTTTCTAGTGCGTGTTGTAAGATTAAGAACAAGGGGCAATCTCTCATGCCCAATGTTTGTTGTTTTTTTTTTTTGCTTGTTTGTTTTTAATCCTCACCCAAGGATATTTTTTCCATTAATTTCTAGAGAGTGGAAGGGGGTGGGGGAAGGGAGAGGGAGAAAGAGAAAGAGAGAGAGAAAGAGAGAGAGAGAGAGAGAGAGAGAGAGAGACTGATGTGACAGAGACACATCGACTGGTTGCCTCCTACCTGTGCCCCTACAAGGGTTGGGAAACCTGCAACTGAGGTATGTGCCCTTGACCAGAAATCGAACTGGTGACCCGAGACCCTTCGGTCCACAGGCCGATGCTCTAATAATTGAGCAAAATCGGCTAGGGCCGTGGTCGGCAAACTGCGGCCCCCGAGCCACATGTGGCTCTTTGGCCCCTTGAGTGTGGCTCTTCCTAAGCCTTAGGAGTACCCTAATTAAGTTAATAACAATGTAGCTACCTATATAGTTTAAGTTTAAAACATTTGGCTCTCAAAAGAAATTTCAATTGTTGTACTGTTGTACTGTTGACTAATGAGTTTGCTGACCACTGGGCTAGGGCATTATGTATAATGTTAAGAGGAGAAATCAGATTTGGAAAACCACAAAGAAACAGCCAAATAATATTTGATTTTTTAAAATAGTATGATGGGCAAATATAGGAGCACTATACAAAAGTCAGTATTTTTTTTTTCTGCATCTCACCAATATCAAGTAATAAAATAGAGGACCACCTAGCATCACTGCAATAAAAAAACTTAAAATATCTTTCAACAAATGTGGTGAGATATGCAGAACCTCCACAAATCATCAGAGAGATACAAAAAGATTTAAACAAGTGAAAAAACATAGTTTCTTGAAGGGATGACCAACACTATAACATCCATTCTCATTTAAATTAAAGTTACATATTCAACTCAATTCTAGTGAAAAATCCAGCAAGACTTTTGGTGTGGATAAAATAACTCCAAATTTTAGTATATGTGCTGCCAAAGCGAGCACATAACTCCAAATTTTAATTCAAAAAATAAAACAAGTGATATGTTCAAAAGAGTATTTTTTAAACAGGAAACTTCTGGCCCTTCTAGCCAAGTAATGCTTAACAGTTTTTACAGTATAATTTCTAAAGCAGTTCTCAATTTTTAATCAATTATTATTTGACACTTGTCAAGAAGAACTGCCAGCTGCCAAGCTAGAAAACTAAAAGCAGCAGACACATAGAAGCACACTAGTATTCACAGAAAACACACAGCTAACTGGAATTATAGGTATTCAGCCAAAAAGAGAGAATAAGAGAGAAATAATAGCTCAAGTGGTGTGGGAGATCCTGCTTTCTATTTAATTTCATGGCAAATGGCCTGAAGGGCTGTGCCCTTCTATACATAGGTGATTACCTTACGGTGCTAAGTCTGGCCTAGGATTAACTGGGCGCTACTTGATGTCTGTTTCTGGTGCTGACTTTAAAAGGTAGCCCTTACACAAACCAGGTGTATCTACTCTGTTTCAAATGCTTTTTTCTAAAAGTTATGAAGTGCACACTGTTCATACCCAAGGGCTCAGTCAGCCTCCTTGCTCACTGACCTTCTCAGCCATGGCATCCATGTAGTCCTGTCGCTGATATTCTCTCCGGCGCAGATGCCTATACACATGGAACTCTCCGCTGCCTGCGCCAGCGCTTGAACCTACAGCCAGGATAGTTCAGAGTTCTCGATGAGCTCCAGTTATCAACACAGGCCACCTTTAATTAACAGTGACCAAAGAAAGAAACTCAATAATGGAAGGGACGGCCTGTCCTACTCCCCACTATACTGCAGAATCTAGCACAGTACCTAGTGTACAGTGTAAGCATCCCCGTGAATGTGGAATTCACTAAAAAGTCCACTCTAATGCAGTATTAAGAGAAGAAATAGAATGCAGTTCAGTGACCGGAAACCTAGAAGAGAGCCTATGACCTTTCCCTCCCCACCAGGTGATTTTACGTTACATTTCTGAGCTAAAAATATATCCATGGTCCAGTAAGTGAAAAAGTTGGTTACCAAATAGTATGTGTGGATCAATCATATTTTTCTAAACATTTTTTTCTAAAGCAGCAGTGGTTTTGTCTATGAAGAGGTTTGGAAGGCTAGTTCAGAATGTTATAAGTGGAACGATGAAATTAGAGGTGGTTCAAACTTTTTAAATACCTCTATTCTTTTTCTTTTTAATTAGTATATATTAATTCACAACCCAACAAAAAATAATAAAACTATTCCATGGAGAAATAACCAATACAAGGCATTATTAAAAACAATGCATAAGAAAATTCTCTAACGCCAAACCCCTTTGTTGTAAGAACAAAATACTGGACCAATGAACACTTTTTTTTCCTAATAGAAATCTAATTAACATATACTAACTGCAGGGTTTTTATATTTATACTTCAAAAATTATATTTACATACACACACACTCCCCAAAAGACATTACCCATTACATCTCGGACAAATTCTGGGGGAGGTCGAGGTGCCCATTCACTCATTTTTTCTGGAATTGGAACTGCTTTGTCCTGAAACATTTCAACAGGAAAGCATTTATAAGTATAAACCTGCGGACAAAGTCACATCTCTTATAACCAAAGGATTTTAACTAGACCAATGAAATAAGGCTGCTTTGCTCCTTGGACTCAAAGCTGATTTCTTCCCTGTCTTAGCTTTACTTCATCCTGTATATTTTGGGGTCTATCACAGCCCACAGGCTCATCAAGGCTATTCTGAGAAGAACTCAGAAACGGAAGTCACCCTGTATGGCTGGACGCTTCCGACTCTCACCCTCCTACACTGCACAAGAAGAGTCAACCCTTTCTAGTCTAAGATCCATGAGACCTGCTCATCCAACTGTTTTTGTGACTGATGGGGCCGAGGCCTGGAGAGGGTGAGCGACTTGCCCCCATGCCTCTAACGAGGTACTGTTTATTTTTTATTTAAAAAATATGTTTTTATTGGTTTGTGAGAGAGGAAGGGAAAGGGAGAGAATCATCCACCAGCTGCGGCCGGCAACATGGGCATGTGCCCTGACCCGGAACCAAACCGTGACCTCACGCTTCGTGGGGGCGACGCTCACCCACTGAGCCACACCGGCTTGACTAACGAGGCAGTTTAGAAGAAAATAACCCTTGTGCTAACCCACAGGCTCTATCTTTAGAGCCTAACGCTTCCGACGCTTCTGTTTACAAAAAGTTAAACCGGAAACGGTCTTGGAGCGCGGGAAGCCGCCCACAGCGCGCCCGTCCCGGCCGGGCTGTAACCTAAGGGCAGGAGGAAGCTCACTGTCCTGGGGCAGCCTACTCCGCACTCAGGGCTGGCGCTGGGTTCGGGTTATGAACTCCTGAATCTGGAGGCGGGGGCGGTGGGCCCTTGGGCCCCCAGAGGCGCCGGAAGGGAGGGAAGGCGGTGGGACGCGGCGGCCGACGAGCCCACGCTCCGTCTTACCGGGTTCTTCATGAGCCGCTCCAGCTTGAGCTTCTGCTCTTCCGCCGCATTCTTGGGGATGACGAGCGCTTGCGGCTCTTTCTTGGGCCTCGGCGGTCGCACTGACGACGCGGCGGGACTCGCCATGACAGTTCTCCGGTTTCCCTCGCAAGCGGCGGCGGCGGCGCGCACGTCTGACGACAGAGACGCGCGCCCGCGACGCAAGCGCAGCCTCCCAGCTGGGCGGGACTGGGCGGAGTCGCCGGCTGCTGAATATTCATGAGCCCGAGGCCGGGCGGGCTGTTTTGATCAAACCCGCTGGATTTCATTTCCTGTTTCTGGCTCAATCCCGGCAGCCGAGCCGGGTCCCGGGAGGGGAGTCCCGCGTGCCCTAGGGCTCTGCCCCTCCGACCTCTCCAGACCTGTGCGTCACCGCTCCGCTGGCAGCTCTGCTTCTAATGGCTGTCAGCCTCCCCTCCCGCCCTGGGCCTTTGTCCTGACTCTTCCTTGGGTCTGGTTCACTCCCCCTACCCATTTCTTTCTTTCTTTTTAAATTCTTTTTTTTTCTTTATTGATTAAGGCAGTGGTTCTCAACCTTCCTAATGCCGCGACCCTTTAATACAGTTCCTCATGTTGTGGTGACCCCCAACCATAAAATTATTTTCGTTGCTACTTCATAACTAATTTTGCTACTGTTATGAATCACAATGTAAATATCTGATATGCAGGATGTATTTTCATTGTTACAAATTGAACATAAAGCATAGTGATTAATCACAAAAACAATATGTAATTATATATGTGTTTTCCGATGGTCTTAGGCGACCCCTGTGAAAGGGTCGTTTGCCCCAAAGGGGTTGCGACCCACAGATTGAGAACCGCTGGATTAAGGTATTACATATGTGTCCTTATCCCCTCATTGTCCCCCCCCCACCCCCCCCGTGTCTGTGTTCATTGGTTAGGCTTATATGCATGCATACAAGTCTTTTGGTTGATCTATCCCTCTTACCCTCACCCTCCCCTGCCTTCCCTCTGAGGTTTGAGCATCTGATCGATGCTTCTCTGTCCCGGGTTCTGTTTTTGTTCATCAGTTTATGTTGTTCATTATATTCCACAAATGAGTGAGATCATGTGATATTTATCTTTCTCTGACTACCCTACCCAATTCTGACAACCTGTTTATTTAAGATTGCGCAAACATCTTCCTAAGGACTGGGACCTACCTCTTTTGCCCACCTCGAATTACTCTGCACCTGGCACCCAGCAAATATACCTCAGCCGAGTGAAGGGGACTATCTTACCAAGAAGAGAAAACTGCCCCTCACATCTGGGAGCCGGCCTGGCACTCACGAGCTAGGCGTTGGTGCTCTCCTGGTGGACATCAATTTCCCAGAGCACCAACATCACACCAGGCCATTCAGTGACCTTGATGGAGCAAGACATAAACAAGAATGCTTGGTATGCATGTTTGTTTTTATTTTTCCAAGATCTAATTGGCTTTATTAAGCAATTCATGAACAGGGCAGCATCCCTTTTAACAACTAGAAGGATGCTCTCTGTAATCATTTTTTATTGAAAAACATGAATATCTTTGGAACCAGAAAAAGACTGAACATTTTTGCCATTCTCACTAATATGAGTAACTGCTGCTTCTTTACAGCTTTGGCCTCTCAACTCATTCCTCCCACTTTAAATATTTAAGACATCCAATCATAGAATTGTCTCTGCTTCCTGAAAACATCTAATCCAGAGTAGAAGCCCACATACGTGAACCCTTCCCCAAATCATTTAGCCAAAACTTAAATCCTCGAAGTCCTCTTTAACACCTACTCTCTTGCTGAAGTAAGCGCAGTCTTCCTTCTAGAGAGATAATAAACCCAACTTGTTCAGCTACAGGTATGTTCTTGGTGGTCTTCACAATTGTTGGTTTTCTCATTTATTATTTGTTGCCTGCTAGAGGGTAGAAGTTCTGTCTTGTTCACTGCTGTCTGCCCAGTGTCTGCGGCAAGGCCTGGCTTACAGTAAGGCACTCAAACATTTGCTGGATGACCATGGGATCTTGGGGGCCAGGTACCTCAGATGCTCCCACTACTGCTGTCTGCTCAGCCTACTCCGCCCAGGATAGCTTGTCCACTGGGTGTCCAGGGGTTATACGGGCGGCTCCTGTGACAGGGTCCTGTATTAACACTACCAGGCCATTCTTGGCTGCCTGATAGTGGGTGGTTTTCCAGGGGCCAAGAGTGATGAATTAGGGAAGTTCTTGAATGGCTCAAGTCTGTCACTGGAACCTAGGAAGGGCTTGGCCTCGGTATGGTCAGGGACACTTGACCCTACATCACTCACTCCAGCCATCCAAGCACCTCACTTTTCCTCAAACACACCACACACCACACACACACACACACACACACACACACACACACACGAGTTTACTTGGAGTGTCATTTCCTCCCTGGAGAACTCTCACACACCCTTCTTAGCTTGGCTTAAATGCTACTTCCTCTGTGAAACCTATGACTGCTCCCAGACCCCTCCTCCAGGCAGGCAGTTGCTTTCTTCTGGTGCTTCCCCTGCTCTGGGTCCCAGTGGCTGGCAGGGTAGATACCACATGTGTCCTCACCATCTCTCCACTCCCAAGTCTGGGGGGAGAGCTGAGCCAGAATCCCAGCACCTAATCCTGGCCTAGAGTAGAGTGGTGCTTCCAGAATGCTTGCAGAACAGGGGAATGAGGAGCGAGAAAGGAGGGACTCACAACTGCCTGAGCAAATAAAGAATGAACATGTAAACGACATGATCAAGTGATGGGTGAATGAATGAATGAATGAATGAATAAGGAAGTTAAATGAGTGAAAATATGAGAACAATGAATGAACACTATAAAATAATATTGAATGTCAATTGTAATTGAAAAAAAATGAACACTTAATAAATGGATACACCATAGTGAGTGAATGAGGGAAGGAAGGAAGGAATAAACACACGAGACAGTGGAAAATTTCAAAGCCAGGAGGGAGCCATATCCCTGGCACCCCCAGCTCAGGGTCTGGCACAGAGCTGGTGCTTGGTGGATAACTGCTGGATGAAAGTGAAGTGAATGAATGAAGTGAGTGAATGTACAAAGGTGGGAAAGTTAAGGCATGTGGGTGTGAAGGAGCTGGTAATAATCACCTCAGTCTGAGCTTAGTCTAAGTGTGTTGACATGTTTATCATCCTGATTTATAGATAAGGAGCTAAGGCCCAGAGGGGTGAGTGACTGGCTCAGGTCACAGGGACTCAAACCCAGCAGTCTGGCCCTGGGTCTGTGGTGCCTTAAATGATCACATACTCATGGCTGGCTGGACCAAGGCCCCCAGCAATTACTGGTGAGGGCCACCCTTCTAGGGCTGAGGCCAGATTTGAGGTCCTGCTCCCTGGGAGTAAAGGGTGCCTTACCAGCCTCTCTGCCCCATAAAAGTGGACTCAAACCTAGAGCGCCACTGTATCTGCCACCAGAGGGCAGCAAAGCTCCACCAGGCCCACATCTCAGCACCTGGGGAATGAGCCTCCTGCCCAGGAAGACACCAGTGCTTTGGAGTCTGGTGGGCCTGTTGCCAATGTTTGGCTCCACCTACTCGGGAGTGTGGGCTAGAAAATCAACTTAACCTCCCAAAGGCTGTTCCCTTGTGCTCAGGATGGGACAAGCAAACCTACCCTTGATACTGCCCTGTGGATACAATGATGTGATGGATATACAGTGCCTGGCACAGCACCTGTCCCAGTTTAATCCCAGGACGAAGGGTGTCCCAGGACGTAAGACCTTCAGCTAAAACCTGGAGACTCTTGGGTAAACCAGGGCAGTTGGTCCCTATGGAGGGATGGTCACTCCCACCTCAATCCTTAGAGTTGTGGTTGGTCCTTAAGGAACCAAAACAGCAAAACTTTTTACAACTATTCAATCACTTGAGCTTCTCACTGAATTAGTGGTCTTTCCACAGCGGCCCTGCTGTTGATGACGAGAGAACAGTTCCACCAATGGGAACAAAAACAAAGATGGCGTATACCAACTTTGGTAAAGAGTTTGTGAGTTTCCTATAAAGATAAACACACATGTACCCTCCAACCCAGCAACCTCACTCCTGGGTACTTACCCTAGAGAAATGAAAATATGTGTCCACTGAAGGACCTGTGTGTGAATGCATAAAGCAGTTTGATTCATAATTGTCAAAACTGGAAACAACCCAATGTCCACCTAACTGTGATAAATCCAAACAGTGATACACTGCTCAGCAATAAAAAGAAAGGAATTATTGATACTTGCAACCACACAGATGATTCTCAAAAGCATTATGGTCAGTGAATGAAGCCAGATTCAAAAGGCTACAACCCGAATGATTCCATTACTTGACATTCTGGGGAAGACAAAATGATAGGGACAGAACACAGATCAGCAGTTTTGGTCAGCTGGTCACTCAGGAGGGGTAGGAGGAGGGGTTTGACTTTAAAGGGCCAAGGGACATTTTTGGGTGACAGACATGTACATCTGGATTGTGGTTTCTTTTGCTATATGAACATACACATTTGCCAAACTCAATGAACTATATGCTTAAAAAGGGTGAATTTAATTGTATAAAGATTATGTCTCAATACACTTGACATAATACAGTGTATTGAGACATAATACAAGTGTATTGAGACAAGTGTATTATGTCTCAATACACTTGCCAGGTTACAGGGGAGCCAACCCCCATTGGGTGGTTTTGGGGTGCACTGCCAGCCTTTAGCCCATTGTGCCCGCCCTGGGCTGCTTACACCCTGTAAATCTTGCCTGCCCTGTCCAGTGTACGGTGGGGTGGCAGGAAGAGGCTTTGTGAAGCCTAGAGGTTAATGTGGATGAAGTCCCACACTTCTGCCTCTGGACCCCACACACCCACACAACAGAGTCCTGGCTGGTCTGGCCAAGGCTGATTAGCACTCACAGGCCAGGGGCTCTTTCTGAACCAGGCCTCACTGAGTAAAGGTAGGAGGTGCTTAGAGCTACAGCTGGCATGACCCCATCCTCCAGAGCTCTCAGTCCGACTCACTAAAGTACCTTCCTATCCCTGAACTTAGACCCCCATGGTAGGGGGACTCCATCGTCTGCTTGCTGAAGGACCCAGTAGGATATATTCCTAGAAGTGGGATCACTGGGTCAAATGGGAGTTCCATT